CACCTCGAACCCACCCAAAAGTACATAACGAAGACCTCACCAGAGGTAACAACAGTCGTTGGCCGTAATGTTGAGTTATCGTAGAACGGAGGGAGAGAACTATTCTTCGATTTTTTTTATAATCCCAGTATTTCCCCGAGGCGTAGACGTGAGTCAAACTATCAACCTATTGGTGCGATCATAGGCGTCGTGTCCCATGGGTGGCTCTTTGAGCTTAAACGGTTCCTCCAGGCCGTAGTTTGCTGCTTTGTATACCCAGAGGGGCAAGATTCGTAGGTGCGCACGCGAAGGGAGTCGCAAGGGTGTGATATGGATGTCTGATTATCTCGCTTAGGGCTACAGGGTCTGGTGGAAGGGAAATTGGTCGATTTTCTTTTATTTTTTTTGTCCCTGAGTAAACTGCAGCTGAAAGGATTATTGTTTGCTCACCATTAATTTCAAGTGGTCGATGTTTGTTAGACATGAATTGTTATTTGGATGTTTGATGTGTTGTCGTACAGTTTAAGTGTCTTGTTATTTGTATTGTTGTATGAGGTGGACATTTTTTTTTTTTTTTATGAAACTTGGCTATACAAGCCTTGAATAAAATTTTCTCTAATAAAAATCATCGGGATAATTTCTTTTAGCTGCCTCTACAGCCACAATAAATGCAATTGTAAAAATCTCTGAATATTTGTCTACGATCCTATACCCTGATTCTCGATGAATGTCTGTCATATTTTTTTGTTGCGCACAACCCAGCAACAATCCCAAAGCTTTGTGAATCGAATTTCGCTTACATTCAAAGTGCTGTTGTAGTATATTTACAACGCCATGGATGCACGCCTAAATTTTCTCCTTGAATCGGTACACAAATCAAGTTAAATGCCACAAATGGAATAAAAATCATAAAGTGGTGCTCACAAAAGCTTTCGATTTTCTCGCTCACTTTTAAAAACAACTTGTCGCTCGCGTGTACTCGACAAAATGCATTAAGCACAGGCAAAAGGCTTCCTCGACGTGCATGGGAAATTAAATTAAACTCGTGTCCGTCAAAAACTTTTTGGATTTTTTTCTTTTATTTATTTACCCTTTGACCTCGACAATAGAGTCCTCGTAAACTCGGGCTAGTGTACATGCAACTGCACTTTCGCGTTCGTTGCTCTGCAAAAACGTCCAATGAAAGTTCATGCGCAATCTGCATTTTGAAAAATCGCCCTCGACGGCAGAGCAAACGTAGTCGTACGAAAAAAAGGCGCAGAGAAAGCGTTGAAAAAAGTGGATGGATTTATGTAAAAAACTAAAATTTTGCATACAAGGAACGAGTGCTACAATTTTCACCAAAAGTAAGAGTGCTGTTTCTGATGTTGCTAATTTTTTGTTTTGTACAAGTACATTTTTATTACTTCAGAGAAAAATAAAATCTTTTAAATTATTCTTGTTACTTTCTTGAATTTTTCACACAACGATTTTTTTAGTTTTTAACTTTTTTTATTTTAATATCGCAAAAATAGTTTTGAAAATTTTTTTTTTTCTTAGGATCGGAAAATAATTTCAATAATGTTGATAAAGAGTAAGAATAATAAAAGTATAATGAATCTTTGTTAATACAAAGTGGTTGAAGGGATATTTTTGAAGTCTCCAAATCACGTAGTTATTATTTAATTTTTTAAATTTACTCCCAAAATCACTCCAAATTTTAGTATAAGTAAAAAATTTTAATCATGAGTCAATCATCAGTTTATAGTCACATGAAAAAAAATTAATAAAAAGCCAACGTTTAACGTACAATAAAAAATCACGAAACTTGCGTTTTCTCAGTCAACTTTCGATAACTCTCAATTAAATTNAATTTTTTTTCGATTTTTGAAATGACAGTGTAATGTTTCGTCACTTAAGGATAAAAGAAAGTTATTAATAAATACATTTTTTTTAAAGTCTCACATGACTACTATCCGTTTAACAGAGGTAAAAATTTTTTAACTAATACTATTATTGAGTTCTGTAATCTTTGGATGAATAAAATAAATCTTCCCCACTGGCAAACTACTAGGTTGGGTGATATAAAAACGAAGCTATTTCCCAAAGCAATGACAATATTTTAAAGTAATGCAGAAATACATTAACGTTCGTACATACAGTGGAAAAAACACCACACGTGATCCTCCCTCCGAAAGCCGACAATTCACCTGTGCTGACGGTATAAAAAAATTACATGCATTCCTATAAACGCGAGCACGAACCACCAACCACATTCTCTTTTGGTAGGTCCACCCCAAACTATGTGCGACCCAGTTATTTCACGATTTCGCGTACACAGGGTCAGCCAAGCGTATACGCCTACGCACATTCGCGTGCCGACAATGAGAAACGAGAAATCAAACATATGCGAGCTGTTTGGCTGTAAAAAGTCGTAGCTTATATGTGCTGTACCATCTGATTACGGAGCAAAAACCCGCATTGATTTTTTCGGTGCTCTCACGGCTTAGCGTAGTATTCTCGCGATATAAAGCAGCCGTCGGGCGAACAAATGATTAAGGGCACGCACGCACGTAGGCACAAAGCCAAGAAGAAATAAAAGGGGCGACGACGAGAAGTCAATTGCGCACGGAGAAACGGAAGAATGGCAGAGGCCGCTCCACGGACCCGATGCGGTCTATTGTACTGTTATGGCTGCCGGTCGAGATGCTACAATGGGTCTTAATGCCGGTCGCCGTTGCGTTTGTTAATGACTTTGAAAAGTTGTGGCTTTGCGGATCGAGGGATTGGAGATCAGTTGGCCGTGCAGGTGTTTAATTTTTTTTTTTGCGTTTAAATACTCGTGAAGTACTTAATCGGTGCTTTGGAGATACTATGGTAAGCTTGGACGGGGAAAAAGATGCTGCGAGTGGTAGGAAATCCTTTTTCAGTTTTGTAGAGGCTTTTTGGAGACAAAATTGTTTTTTTGGTTAAAGTGCAGGAAATTTTACGGTATTCTGAATTTTTATAGAGATTTACGTGAAATTTTCTGCTCACTTATGCATACATATTTTTTCTACAAGCAGCGTTCTCACACTTATTGTGGTTTGAATTGAAAATTTCACTTGAGCGAAAAATAAGAACTGCTTCAAGAGTCAGGATGAAAAATTTTCAATTTGCAAGCCTAACTTCTTGGAGCTAATTAAAACTTTTTGCCACTAGGGAGAGAAAGACATCCCTTTTTTTTTTTTTTTTTTTTTTTTTTTTTTTTTTTTTTTTCATGTTTTGCACGAAGATTTTTGAGACCCAGATATTGAAAAATTCAATATTGTACACGTTGACAAATAAAAAAACATTTTACCGTTGAAAAATTCAGATGTAAACGAAAAAAAAAAATGTTGTAACAAAAAATTAAAATCACTTTTATCAAAATATTCAGAACCGTAGCTTTACCACGGAAAAGTACAATAACGATCCATGTCGACGGAGAAACAATACAGTTTTCCAAAAAAGAAGGAGGAGAAAAAAGAAAAGCCCTTTGCAGAGTCCCGAGACTCGGGGACAATGTCTTATTTATCCCAAACAGATCAGGAATTGTACGGGAGAGATCTTGAAATGGCACAATGAAGAAAAGCCATCTGATAGGGCATGGAGGGAAGACGTTTGTTAAAAGGGAGAAAAAAAAGGATCCAAAGCACCTTACAGCACAGCAGCTGATAAACGCCAACGCACGTTAGCCAAATATTATTGAAAACGCCAACGACAATTGTCAGATCCCCTTCCCTCTTTTTCCTCCATGTCCTTTTTGCCAGGGGGATTGGAAAAAATAACAAAGGAGGGCAAAAATGGACCTCTTTTTCTTCTTCTTTAATATACGCCTCCATTTATAAATATATACAGCCCATGCGGTCCCTATTGGTCGCTATGCGCTTCAAACGGGCATCCAATTACGTATTTCCGGTTTGCCAAGAAGCACATTCAAAGAACGCCCGAAAGAAAAAAAAGGAGCTATCAAAAATACAATGCAGACGGCCCGAGTAATTATGAAGATAGCGCGTGGGGCTTTTTTCAATGCGTATTCGCGAATCAGAACCTTAGCTGTGATTCAGTCATTGTAGTGAACCAGAAGTTCGGATAATGCATGTTTGTGGTTGCAAAAAATTTTTTTACTGTTTTTTTTTTTTTTTTTTCATACGAGACACGTGTTGCTAAACGAAAATCGGGGCGCGCAATATGCAAACGACCGCGTGTTTGGTGCCAGATTTGGAATACTACAAACGGAGGGAAAATAGAAAATTTTTATTCTCCGATACTTACCGTGCGTCAAACAAAAGTGAGATGACGAATCATCCCAAGATCGACTTATGCATAGATTGATGATGATTAATTTATCCGATGATACGTACGGAAAAAAAGTTCGTATTTGTCATACCAAGAAAAGAGGGATCAATATAAAACAACAGTCACATAAAGATCAACGCAATAACAAGCGTAATACGTGAGAATGATGCGACTGTTACCTTCACCGAGTAGCAGATCAATTTGAACGAGATAATAACGAGTCACGGCTCAGCTCGTCATTGAATTTACCGCGATTCGCTTTCTCATGATTATAAACGTGCTGATTGAGTTTTGGCAAAATTATCGCGTACGTTCACATGTACCGTGCTCAATCAAAATGATACAAAAAAAAAATAAATAAATAAAAAAAAGCTCAATAAATTAATAAAAATGCAACTCCGTGCAATAGCAAAAAAACTAAATTAGCCACCCCTCTGTGTATGCAAGATACGTCCAAATTGTAATATATTGTAAATTGTCAAGGAGAAAGAAAAAATGTTTAATTTAACGAAGATTCTCCGGGTAGAAATGAACAGAATGCGCCAAAGGTCACGGCTCTGGAGAGCAGTGCCAACACGCAAGCCAGAGACCACTCCAGCAGCGGGGTGTATACAAATCGCGATCGGGGTGCTAAAGATCGTTGTGTGTCGGAAGAAAAATGGGGGGAGGAAAAGAAAAAGGAAAAAAAAGATGTGCATGGAAAAAAGTAAGCAAACACTCACTTGGCTGACTATTCCTCCGGGAGTGGTCCAGCAGGCGATGATTGTAGTCCCGCGAAATTAAGATGCACACGAACGCAGAGAACACGCGCGTGCGTCCACGCCAATAGGGAAAAACAGATAGAGAGAGAGGGAGAGGCTAAGAGGAAAATATAACACTTGAACGTCCGCTTACAGGATGAATTTCCCGAGAGTTAAAAAAGAGTCGAGCCTAAAGAGCAAGCCTCGTGGGATAATAAGCGAGTGCTGCGTGTCCGTGTACGCGTGCGGCTCACCGAGCGGTTAAAAGACAAAGTGCGCGCTACGAGCTTGCGGCCCGGCTATATACGCTGGCCTTCCCCCTGCCAGAGCCAGCGGTAACAGCGCGCGCACTCGCACCTGTGCTTGCGCAGAGCTTCCTCCCGCGAAGCTTCTCTCCCCCCCCCCTTTCGATACGGATGTTCAGTTGCCCCATTTGGCTAGTTCCTAGCTCGCGTGTCCCTTTTTTCTCATCCCTTCCGGAGTCTGCGTGCAGTTCGTGCGGGTATATAGGTGATGTTTAGGTGGCCCGCTATACCTATACGGCTGTATTGAGAACTGGCTCGTGGATGGACCTTGCAGCGATACTGGGGTAGCCTTTTTTTTCATCTTTGGGATGTGCTCCATACCTGGTCCTCGGCTCGTGATTTATGTGCCAAAACTTGTTTTTATGAAATCTAATCTTTTTTTTCCCGTTTTTTCCTTTTTTTTATCTAACGTAATGAAAAATAGAGGACCAGTGAAAGCAGCAGCACCTTTTGTTTGCGTTTTAATAGGCTGGTCATCTATGAAACTTGGGTTTCACTCCCCTGACCAAGCCAGCCATTCAACGTGTGTATCAAATAATGATGGTATCTGTTTGAGATTATAATACATGAGCTCATATAGTCTCACGGGGTAAATTAATCCTTTACGAACGACGGCATATGTGTGTACACACGGATGGATAATGAATAATTTCAATCGACTCAAGCGAGAGTATCTGAAAATTCATCAGCAGAGTTATTCTCATCTCTTGTACGATATTTTGCTCTACTATTGTACGATGAAAAATAAGAAGAAGAAAAAAAAAAAAAAGTCTACACACCCTATTCTCTGTTATACAGTATACAACATACACGCTCCCCTGGCTCGTTTATTATTTCTTTTTCTCCCGCTGCGTCCTTTTTCTTTTCGTACGCATGTGCGTAGGTATACACATACGCGTACTCGCTGTTTAATTTTCATAACCCCGTTTTTTCTCTTGAAGCATAAAAATCGTAATTTTTCATGTACACCCTCAACAGTGCCGTATCCTTGAATATGTCATTTTTCAATTATTTTACGACGGGCGCACGTATTACGTAGACATTGTACAGGAAGCTGCCGGTATCATTTATCTTTTGGAATATCGAGCGCCTGCCACATGACGTTGATTCCGAAAAATTTGTCGTGCTCTGCATTGCGACTTGGCGGCGAAAACGGATTAAGGACATTTTGAGAGTGTATACATATGTGTGTGTGTTTGCATGTTTGCAAAAAGCCGGCAGGCAGTGGAGGAAAAAAATATGCGAACGCGCCTCCGCGATCAGATGCTGCGGGTCTACTGTTTTATCCTATTCCAGTTTTTTGGGCACGGATGAGTGCGACGTGGTCGTATAGCGAGGAGTAGAGATAATTCAAATAAGCAGCCAAGAAATTTTTTTTTATTGGTTCTCTGCTAGGTGTAAGGAATCATCTTTGGCGTACTTGAATGTCTGGAACATTAAAAATAATGATGACTAAAAGAAAATTCAAATGTAAGTTTAAAAGTGTCGATGGGGGAAAAATGACAATTGTGAATTTATGAAAAATTGTGATTAACAAAAACTAAAAGTATTTGAAAGCATTTACTGTCGCCGTACAAACAACTTTCAAAAGGGCCGAGAACAAGAGTGAAAAATAAAAATTTGTCTCAGATCCGGATGCTCATACATATCAGTCGTACATAAAAAATAAAAAACACGTTTCTGTAACGTGATATTTTCTCGAAAAACATCTCGCACTATGCGATAACAAAGCTTTTTCTCTTTTTCAAGAAAGGAGTACACTGCCTTTTGCGTCTCCTTTACATCTCCCTTGAGAATATCGAGCTACTGCTATGCACCGGCACACCTTTGTAGTGATCATATTTTACTTGGAAGAAGACGTTGCCAGGTTCCTCGTAAAAGCATTTACGTATGGACGAGATGTATCTACAAAATGACTATAAAGGACGTGGTTAATTTTGGTTTACGGGAGCGTGGCTCGCAAAGTTACAGCTCCATTGTCTATGTCTAGGTTTCCCTTGTTAGGATTTCATAGGAAATGCCAACATTACACAGGATCTTGATATAGAGATGTTGACATTGTTAAGTGGAGGCATAAAGCTCAAAATTGTTGAATAACTATGATAACATACGCCCTTTGCGTCATTCATTTTGTATATGTGGTCAAGTTTGGATGGTGGATCACTATAATTTTGACACTGGGAACTGATGCCAAGTTTCTTCGTCTAGTTACTGTGGACTAGGAATCCACTTTTTTAATCACAAAAATAGAAATAAGTGGTCCATTGAAAGGTTTATCAGTTAAAAATAAATTTCGTCCTTGAGTAATTTAAAGAAAATTTTTTAACGTTTTTCTAAGCATACAAATTAATATAAAGTTAAAATGGCGTTGAGTAACTACTGTTTCACTCGTACATATTAAAGGTAAGGAAAAAAAAATAAATAAAAAAAATATGAAAAAAAAAAATTTTGCTACTTCTGAGTGGAAAATATATTGTAAATTGTC